ATGTGAAATTATTTATTCGAAATATGTATGAATACAGCAATAATTAAATTAGCATCTCCGCTACGCTTCGCTTTAAATGATCATATCGTGTAATCTGAAAAAAAGTTGGGTGGCGAATTTTACCCAATTGCTTGCCTCACGTATCGATTTTTTGGCCGGCATTGACTGATTGACATTAATTGGCCTAAATTATACCCTAATTTTTAGGCCGATCGACATTTATGCGTTAGTCGGAGGCACGACTGCATTACAGTATTAATTTCAACCTGCATTGTAAATTATTTTCTACGTTAAATTTACAACCTCGTCATAGGTGATTACCTGCAAAATACCTACCCGACATTTTTGCTTAATGCTCCCGAGATAGGGTTTAGACACTCATATTTTTTGATCAGAATAAATGGCTCTCTGTCGCGTGATTGGACACGGCTCTAGACGACCTCATTTTTGGTATAATCCAGACTCGGTGCTGCTCACTTTTAGCCAACATCACATAGGGTTATGTTAGTTTTCGATTAGCTACAAGTGTATATTTTTAGTAAATTGTCATTTGGCGTGATGTCGGTTAAATGAGCTGTCGGCGAAACGATCGTCGGTGAAGTAAGACAGTTCCATTTGGAATACTTTTATAATTTAAAAATTTATAAATTTATACTGTAACAAATAAATATGTAAAATTTTGCATACAATTATTTTTTGTTTATTAATATTACTTGTAAAAGCAAAATATAAAATGTTTAACCCTTAACATTGCAGTCAAATAACAGAATTAAAAGTAATTTAGCACTTCAAACAAAATTATACATAGGTTAATCGAGTAAATTAAATACAGTTTAAAGATAATAATAAAAACATAAAATTTATGTAAAGATTATCTAATTATACAATGTTCCTAATTATATATAAATTTATAATGTTTTTTTCTATATATAATTTCACGAAGCTACTATACTTTGCATTTGAATAGAATCCTTTTCATTGAAAAGCGGTTTAAGATTTATATTAGAATCACTTTCAATCTCATCACAGAAAGCGATAGAATTTCTTCTATATCTCATTTCACCAGTACCTAATAACATTACGTTATCACCAACATCATTGATTTCATAACCATCCGACCATATATATTCACCACCATTTTCATCTTCAACTTCTTTGATAGCTTTTCTTGCAAGAATCCATACATAAATTATTATACAAATACCAATAGCAATGCTACATAACATTAATATAAAATGAAAAGATTTTGTAAAATTAACATCTTTTGATAAAGAAGGTTTAGTGGAATTATCTATTTCACCAGATAATATTCCAATATGAGTAGAAAAAGCAGAAAATGAAGACATTTTTGTTCCTATCCAAACATGAATCATGAGTTTAAATAGGGATAAAGCAGTAGCGGCAGTGAAAGTTGGTAAAGATAAATGAGTAGCAGAAAGTAGCATGTTGAGTATATTATAAGGATAAGGTGCTATACGTATAAGAAACAAAAGCTATAGAAAAATAAGTAAACGATTAGAAATTGACATAAAAAAAAAAATAAGGCATATTCATTCATCTGATATATATATATATATATATCATACCTTGAAACCTTTTTTTTCAACAGCTCTAACAACAGCACTCATCGATCTATTTCT